GGAACTCCAGCGGTCGCCTCAGTGTGGGCGACGTTCGGGTCTTGCGCTCCCCATCTTGGAAAACTCCAGGAAATTGCCGTTGGGAGCAGCGCTAGGCTGTAGCTCGGGGCGGGCGTTCACCTCCCGCTAATCCGCGCTGCGCGGAGCTTATTTTTAGTTGGGAATTAGCCGGGGCTGAGGGTGAGCGGCGTGAGGAGCAGGCAGCAGTTCACAGTGGCCCTCTCAGCCTCGGGTGGTATGGGGAGGAAACAGGTGGTAAGTCTGTGGATCCTCGAGGCATCAGGCCTGCAGCCTTACTTGTTTTATTTCTAGTTGTAGCTTGGAGCGGGGCAAGTATTTCTTCCTCCTTATTCTTCCATTACGGTTATATAACTCAAGATCTGAAAGTAAGCTGCCTGGCTTTTCTTAGAAGAGAGAACCGTCAAGTGTGAGAGCGTTTATATATTGTCTCCATTCAGAATTTTTTTTTCTCATGCATTTATTGCGGTGTGATCTGTTTATAGTCTGTTTCAGAAGCACAGGAATGTAGGGCTGCCTGGGCTGTTCTGGCCGTGCCTGGAGGCGGCTGTTTTGGTGAGGTGGTTTAGCAGACACCTGCAGGTGGTTTCACACTGTCTGAGCTTGTTTTCTGTCTCTGTCCCTTCTCCTGCAGTGCCCTCCTCGTGCCCTCCCTCCAGTGCCAAGGTAAGAGCTGTTCACCCCATGGAACTGATACTTGTGTGTTGCGGTGATTTTTTTCAAGGTGGTGAAAATAAAAGTCTGAGCAGTCATAAAGGCTTTAAAAATGTTCCCTTTTCTGGCTAATTTGCTGACCAAGAACATCTCAGTTGCCTCAACTGTACAGTAGCATCCATGCTAGCTTTATTAACATCCCTCTTCTCAATCTCCTTTTGTCCTCTTTCTCCTTTTCTTCTTTCTTCGTGTTTTCTTGTATATTTGAATCAGAAATCCTCCTGGGCGAAGACTTCTAAAATAAGATTAGGTATTCTCGCATAGGTTTGTATGTACATAGCAGTGCGACATGATATAAGGAGAAATATGGGCCTCTGGTTTTCAGCATCCTAGCAGATAGTGCAGAGGAAAGGTAGTTATAGAGGTTTTGTGGTGTAGCACCTCAGAAGTCCTTGAAAGCAAATTTGATGTTTATGATTAATCACGTAATGAGTGTTTCTGTTTTTAGTAACACACATATTCAAATGTTTTGAAACTTTTTTTGTTCGTTTGTTACATACTGGGCAGGAAGGCAAATTCTAACTAAATAACTAGGTGATTAAAGCTTTTAATCTGCTCCACAGTCAAGCGATCAAGAAACTGTGCATAATCACAAGCAGACTGTTGAGTCTCGATGATAAAGAGAATTAGGAGCGGGTGCGTAAGGGGAGGAATCACAATAAAGAAAAAGGCAGGTGTGAATTTAAAGCTGTTGTGAATTGTGATTGAAAACTAATTTTCTCTCTCTGTTCTTTTTACATTGCTTTTCTCCACTTTCCTCCTTAAATGTGGAAATTTGAAGTGGAAGCCAAGGTGAGTTATTTTGACATGAAAGAAAGTTTATTCTTCAGAGCATTATTTTGAATCTTTTTTTTTGTTTGTTTATTGCATATGTATGTCTTTGTGTAACCTCTGTTGCACCTAAAGATATCTTATTCACTGTTTTCCTGCCACTTTCTTTACTCTTCCTGCTTGTATAAAGTGGTGAGTTGTCATGTTATCTGGAAAAGGTGAGGAAAGTCTTCACTTGTTCAAGTCTTGTGTTAAGAAAGTCTTCACTTGTGTTTTTTTTGGCTAGCAGTAGAAGGGTCACTGAAAGAACAAGATAGAGATTTCCTCATGCTGGACATCTATAACGATGTTTTATGCTTTACAGATGAAATTCCACTCAGTCGTCCAAAAAAAAGGAAGCCCAAAGGAAAGACTCCCTTAGGTAAGGTCCTGCCAAGACTGCAAATGGAGTTTGGAACCTGACAGAGGCACAGTTCCCAGCTTTGTGCTCTACATCTGAAATAGTAACTTAGACAAGAGCTCCACTATAACTGATTTAGGGGGCTGTCATTATAGAAAAAAAATACCAACTCAAGCATCTTGTTTTTCACCCCACTGTTCCTCCACAGAGCTGTTCCCAGTCCTACGATACAGCAAACCTTGATACTGTACTGCGAAAATGCTTTTATTCCCGCTTTTAAAAATATATATATTAATGAAGAGCTTTGTATTTTGCAGAAAATTGGTCCATAAAGCAAGCATGTGCTTTTAAGCAAGATTATAGATGTGATCTCTGTTTATTAAAACAAAATATTGATAAAATCTACTAGATTTCTCTAAAACAGTTGACTTGGGACCCCATGAAGTTTTGATGAATAAACCTCCTTTCCCTAGTTAAAACTTAGTGAAAGGTCTTTGTATGCAACTAAATAGGTACAGCTGTTGCTAGCAGGTTTCCTAAGGATCAAGTTTTGTTCAGTGTTTTCAGTGAGCTGAATGATGATACAAAGTCTTCCTTTGGCCAATGCTTTGGTTGTTAATTTTACATGTGAGCACAGTAAAAATATAAAACTTGGTAAAACTTTTATTTGTAGTAAAGACAAGAAAGATTCAATTGTTTATCATAAAAACTTCTGTATCTGGATAGGCTATAAAGAAGGTAGATGTGGTGTAAAACGGACAAGTGACTTGGTCTTTTTACACCCAGTCATGCAAATCGATGCTACTGCTGCTGGAATGCACAAAATTTCATGTAAACTTTTCATGGAAAATTAGTTTCTTCAAAGTCTAGTAATTTATCTCCTGAATGGGCGTAGACATTCTCTGAATGTGCTTTTTCCTGTGTCTCCTTTACTCTGTGTTTGTGTAGCATTTAAATTTCCCTATAATGTTACACCATTTTGCCTTGGCTTATCTGTCTAGCTGTGCGTAACTTGTAACAAACTGCTCTGTTCATTTTCTTTGAGCCTTGCATGATAAGCTTTGCATGTTGAAGTTATTGGGGCGCAGTTCGTTCATGTGTGAGTGCTCTGTTGCAGACCCAAATGGGACTTATGCCACTTTTTCAATACCTACAAGAAGCTGCAAGAGTGGTAGAAGGGTTGCTCATTGCTCCTTACATTTTTTTCTCAGGCTTTATGTTTCTGCCCAGTATTTTTCATCGCAGCTGTTAGTGGGCAAGTGGAGAAGTTCTGTGCAAGGTGTAGGGGCTTCTGTAACTGAACTTTATAAGTTTCCTGGCCAAGAAGAGAAGAATTTCAAGTCTTAATGTTCTAACGTATGTGTCAGAGATGAATCCCTGCGAAGCAGTGGAAGTGAGAGAGAGAAATGCAAAGGGCACATTTCTTTTTCGTGGTTGTTTCCTGGCTCCTCTGAATTAGAATTGCTGGAGTTTTTCTTCTGGGTTTCAGATGGTATTGTGCAAGCTGCTGTTCGTCGGCAGTCTGAGAGCAGTGAGCCCCTAACTCCTGGACCTCCTGATGTCCCTCCTCAGAGGAAACGCAAGAAGAAGAAAGTACCTCCTGGTATGTGCAGAAGAAAGTGCAGGAAAGAATGCTGAGTGAAACTTGGTAATGCAGCAGTGAGATTGGCCAACTTGTGTTTTGGTTTATGAATATTTCAGACCATGTGCACTTGCATGGATGACACGTGAACGTAATTTCTGGATGAATGGTAGCTTAAAATTTAAGTTTCTGATTCTGGCTTCCTCAGGGTACAGATCCTGATGCCAATGGTGGCAGTATGGTTTTGGACGTGGTAAAACATTCCTTCTATGATCCAGAAACTCAGAAGAGCATCACTCTTTTGCCATTGCGTTTACATAATAATTACTTATCTATAGCCATAAATAGGTTATTCTATAAAAGCTTTGAAATTTTCACGTGGCTTATTTTAAATCTTCAGATTCTGAGACCTCTTTTACCCAGCAGAATGTTGCGTCCTTGTTTCAGAATGGAAATGGCATGGATGTCCCAGAAGCTGAAGAAGCAGTGATCTGCAAACAGAAAAAAAGAACCAAGTGAGAAAAGCTACCAAAGCTAGTTCTAATTTAGGATAACTGTGGCAGTGAATGTGCCTAGTTGTGTGCTTTAAAAAAAAAAAAAAAAAGTGTCTCATCCTTTGCAATAAATAGAATGTATGATTTCTTCCATTACTGGGATCTAATTTTCTTTGCTTGTTTAATATATATGTGGGTGCATTACAATTCAGAATGTGTTAGCATAAATTTAATGTTTGTCACATACATGAGAAATTAGAACATGTATAACTGCTTTCTTTAGTTTTCCTTTTTTTCTTTAATTTTATAAAAAACTTGGGTCCTTTTTCTATGCCTCTGTTCTAAGAACTAAGCCTTTAAAACATTTAGTCTAATTTCTACCAAAAGTATCTACTTTCTTGGTCTTTTTATCTTTTTTTCTAATTGTTACTCCCTTGTTATACATTTCTTCCCACCTTAGTGTTTTGAGGCAAGTAAAATGAAATGAGAGAAAAAAAGCAACCCAAATTCAAGGTTCAACTTTCTAGTCTAATTTAACTAGTTCCATGAGAATTTTAGTCCTTAATGCTCTGCATGGGGGTAGTATCATACATGTCTGTAAGGCTGATCTGTTCTTATTGGCCAAGTTAGATATGCTGTATATTCCTCAGAGGCATAAGCTTTTAAATTTCAGTAAATATTCTTTCTCTACCCTGTTTTATGCCCTGTTATGATAGGAAATCTCGTCCAGCAGAAATGCAGTGTTCCAACGATCTGGAAGTGGAGGAGGAAGAC